TCCTAGGCCTCTGGGCCTGTGATGGGAGAGCCTCTTGCCAAGTCTCTGAAATGCTTTTGAGGCCTTTTCCCTATCGTCTTAGCTATCAGCACTTGACTCATTTTTACTTATGCAAATTTCTATAGCATGCTTGAATTTCTCCCATGAAAATGGACTTTTCTGTTTTGATTTCTTCTTTAAAAAAAAAAAAAAAGGAATACACATGCAGAATGTGCAGGTTTGTTACATAGATATACGTGTGTCATGGTGGTTTGCTGCACCTATTGACCCATCTTCTAAGTTCCCTCCCCTCACCCCACAGCCCCCAGCAGGCCCTGGTGTGTGTCCACTCTGTGTCCATGTGTTCTCATTGTTCAACTCCCACTTATGAGTGAGAACATGCAGTGTTTGGTTTTCTCTTCCTGTGTGTCAGTTTGCTGAGGATGATGGCTTCCAGCTTCATCCATGTCCCTGCAAAGGACATTATCTCATTCCTTTTTATGGCAGCACAGTATTCTATGGTGTATATGTGCCACATTTTCTTTATCCAGTCTATCATTGATGGGCATTTGGGTTTGATCTATGTCTTTGCTATTGTAAACAGTGCTGCAATAAGCATATGTGTGCATGTGTCTTTATAGTACAGTGATTTATATTCCTTTGGGTATATACCCAGTAATGGGATTGCTGGGTCAAATGGTATTTCTGGTTCTGCATCCTTGAGGAATCACCATACTGTTTTTCATAATGGTTGAGCTAATTTACACTCCCACCAACAGTGTAAAACTGTTCCTATTTCTCCACATCCTCTACGACATCCGTTGTTTCCTGACTTTTTAAAAATTGCCATTCTGACTGGCATGAGATGGTATCTCATTATGGTTTTGATTTGCATTTCTCTGATGATCAGTGATGTTGAGCTTTCCTTGTTTGTTGGCCACATAAATGTCTTCTTTTGAGAAGTGTCTGTTCATATGCTTTGCCCACTTTTTGATGGGCTTGTTTTTTTCTTGTAGATTTGTTTAAGCTCCTTGTAGATTCTGGATATTAAACCTTTGTCAGGTGGGTAGATTGCAAAAATCTTCTCCCATTCTGTAAGATGTCTGTTCACTCTGATGATAGTTTCTTTTGCTGTGCAGAAGCTGTTTAGTTTAATTAGATCCCATTTGTAAATTTTGGCTCTTGTTGCAATTGTTTTTGGTGTTTTAGTCATGAAGTCTTTGCCCATGCCTATGTCCTAAATGGTTTTTTTTTAGGGTTTTTCTGGTTTTGGGTTTTACATGTAAGTCTTTAATCCATCTTGAGTTAATTTTTATATAAGGTGTAAGGAAGGGGTCCAGTTTCAGTTTTCTGCATATGGCTAGCCAGTTTTGGGGCTTTTCTTGTTTACCACATGACCATGCTGCAAATTTTCCAAACTGTTATGCTCTGCATCCCCTTTAAATATAAATTCTAACTTTAGATCATTTCTTTGCTCATGCATATAAGCACAGGTTTTTGGAAGCAGCCACTCTACTTTTTGAATGTTTTGTTGTTCAGAAATATCTACCACCAGATACACTAAATCATCATTCTCAAGTTCAAAGCTCCACAAATTTCTAGGGCAGATACACAAAGCAGCCAAGTTCTTTGCTACAGCATGAAGAAAGTGACCTTTGCTCCATTTCTTAATAAGCTCCTCATTTCCATCTGACAGCCTGGACTTTCATGTCCCTATCACTATCAGCACTTTGGACACAACCATTTAACCAATCTGTAGGATATTCCAAACTTTCCATCATCTTCCTGTCTTCTTCTGAACCCTACAAACTCTTCCAACTTCTGTCTGTTACCCAGTTTCAAAGTCATTTCACATTTTCAGGTATCTTTATAGCAATGCTCCACTCCTCAGTACCAATTTTCTGTATTGGGCTGTTCTTGCATTGCCATAAACAAATATCTGAAACTGGTTAATGTATAATAAAAAGAGTCTCAATTGGCTCAGGGTTCCACAGACTGTACAGGAAGCATGATGCTGGCAGCTACTCAGCTTCTGGGGAGGCCTCAGGAAACATACAGTCATGGTGGAAGATGAAGGGGGAACAGGCATGTCACATGGCCATAGCAGCAAGAGAAAGATGGGGGAGAGGCTACATGCTTTTAAATAACCAGATCTCATGAGAACTCACTCACTATTGTGATGACAATACCAACGGGGGATAGTGTTAAATTATTCATGAGAAACTGCCCCCACGATCTAGTCACCTCTCACCAGGCTCCACCTCCAACTTTAGGAATTACAACTGAACATGAGATTTGGGTGAGGACACAGATCCAAGCCATATCACCATAAAAAAGCCAAGTCCTTGAATTGAGGACCCCAAGAGCTTGCGTGGTGCTCTACTCCCCTGTGCCCAACCTGATACCTAAGGTGCAAAATAAAGTCCCCTTTACTTTTCCCTCTGCTTTTCTCAAGCAGGAGTCTTGCCCCTTAGCCACACAGATGGTAATGTGCTGAGCCTCACCTAAAGCCAGAACATCTCAGAATCTCACCATGACATACTGCCTGGGTATCACTGCTTCTTATTCAGGGCCCAAGGGCTCTTCAGTTAGCAGGTGATGATTCCTGGAAGGACTGTGTTCTTCCTTTCAAGGTACTGGGTTCCCTTCTGAACCCATGTGTGTCTAGAAATGTCCAGGAGCCAAGCCTTGGAAAGGGGGCCTCACAACTGTGACTGGTACCCTATTCTACTGTGGTTGAGTTGGTATCCAGGGTGCAAGACAAAGTCCTCCCACTCTTCCCTTTCCTCTCCTCAAGTGGAAGTAAGTATTCTTTTTTAGAACTACAAACTCTGCAGCCTGGGTGTAGGGAAGGGGTAATGCCAGCACTCCCTTAATTGCTCCAGCTGGTGTCTCAGTAGGTCATGTGCCCCCACAGCCCACTGGCTATGAGCCCAGTTCAGCACTGGAACTTGCCTAGGAGTTGCAGCCCTTGAAGCCTAGATTGCCTTTCAAGTATATTTAGGGCCCTGGAGCACTTTAGCCTGTGGCGGTGAGGCTTGCAGGTTCTGACTGCTGGGATTGGTGATTTCCCTCTGGCTAGAACTTATTTATGTAGCCTTCCATTGATGGGCATCAGCTGAGTTTTGTCCCTTTTTGTTTTCTGCTCTAACAGGGCAGCAATGAGTTCAATGCCTCACAATTGTTGCACTTGCCTCTCCCCAGTGCACAGAATCACTCTTCGCACCATGCCACAGCTGCTTGGGAACGGGGCAGGGACGGTGTTTATGATTCAATACTGTTTTTCCTACCTCTTCAATGCCTCTTGCAGCAATAGGAAGTTAAAACCAGGTACTGTCACACTTGATTTTCAGTTCTTATAAAGGTGCTTTTTTTGTAGATAGTTGTTAAACTGGTGTCCTTGCAGGGAGAATGATTAGTGGAGCCTTCTGCCATCTTTCTCTGCCCTTCCCTTAATTTTGCTTCATGCTTAATTTTTACTTATGTTTACCTATATTTAGTTTTACTACACTTAAATGTGACTTATGCTTAATATTACTAAGCAGATTAGTTTAAAAACTCTATGTAGTCAAATATATTAATATTTTCCTTCATTATTTCAGGATGTGAGACATAGTGAGAAAGTTTTCCATGCTCCCATTTATACAATGATTCATCTATGCATTTTATTCTGGCATTTAAAAAAAAAATTAGAGTGGAATATATGGAAACTTTGCTATTTGCATGCATTTACTTTTATGGTTTTTTTTTTTTTTTTTTTTTTTTTTTTTTTTGAGACGGAGTCTCGCTCTGTCGCCCAGGCTGGAGTGCAGTGGCGCGATCCTGGCTCACTGCAAGCTCCGCCTCCCGGGTTCCCGCCATTCTCCTGCCTCTGCCTCCTGAGTAGCTGGGACTACAGGCGCCCGCCACCACGCCCGACTAATTTTTTGTATTTTTAGTAGAGACAGGGTTTCACTGTGGTCTCGATCTCCTGACCTTGTGATCCGCCTGCCTCGGCCTCCCAAAGTGCTGGGATTACAGGCTTGAGCCACCGCGCCCGGCTACTTTTATGGTTTATAAAATTATTTAAGCTTTATTCTTATCCATATTACTATCTAGTTATTCCCACATGACTTGTCTTAATATGTCTTCCCCCATTGCTTTAGATATCACCATACATTTATTCGTTTTTCAAGTGGATCTATTTTTCTTTTTCTAGACTGGTTAATCTCTTTCACTGGAAAGTCTATTATTTTTAATAAGCTCATGGTTTACATTTATAATATTTTATAAAAGGTTTTTTCATTGATGTTAATAAATATGAATGATCTGCTGTTTTTTTCTTTTGATATCATCTTTGTTAGTATTTGGTACCAATGTTCTATTTACTTCATAAAACATATTTGGAATTTGATTATATAAATGTATCCAATTATCACATGTACCCCAAAAATATATACATCTATTACATATCAATAAAGGGTAAATTTTTTTTTAAGTTTGGAAGTTTCCCTTTTTTTCTTTTTTCAAAAAGACCAATTTTATAATATTGCAATTTTTTTTTTTTTTTTTTTTGAGACGGAGTCTTGCTCTGTCACCCAGGCTGGAGTGCAGTGGCCGGATCTCAGCTCACTGCAGCCTCCGCCTCCCGGGTTCACGCCATTCTCCTGCCTCAGCCTCCCGAGTAGCTGGGACTACAGGCGCCCGCCACCTCGCCCGGCTAGTTTTTTGTATTTTTTAGTAGAGACGGGGTTTCACCGTGTTAGCCAGGATGGTCTTGATCTCCTGACCTTGTGATCCACCCGCCTCGGCCTCCCAAAGTGCTGGGATTACAGGCTTCAGCCACCGTGCCTGGCCAATATTGCTATTTTTTAAACAATTAAGGATTTCTTTATGACTAATATTTACTCTATTTTAAAAGTATTTTGTGTTACATAAAAATAATTTTATTTTTGTTTAGTTTACACTTATTCATTTGAGATTAATAATCATGCCTTTGAAAATTTTTAATGTCTAGGAAGTCTTATTTAGCTGAATATATCCATCAGTCCTTAGGGGTATGGGCTAAATTTTCTCCCATAGGCAAAAATGTGGATGATTCACATGGAGAAAAGCAGCTCATAACAGTTATCTAATAATAGTGACATGGAGGAGGACTCCTCCGAGAGAGCTGTGCAGTTGGCAGGCAAGCTTATGAGGACCACACCAAGAACAGCTCAGCAGGCTTGAAGGCCTGGAGTGCTTTTAGCACTGTCTGCAATGGAAAGGAGGGGATTGCTGTGGGATGTCTCATGGTTTCTTCAGCTGGTGGAAGTCTTCAGAGGAGAACAGAAGATGGTCCCCACATCGTAAGGTGTGTAGGCCAAGTAATTATATGCCTTTTTTATGTTTTCTTGTCAGTATGTTGAACTAATGTGGTAACCTGGTTAATTATTACCAACTCAGGATACAGGGAGGTTTAAACATCTTTGATTTACTTAGAATCAGGGCAAGGATGAATCATGACTGAAAAAGTGTTGGGTCTAGGTAAATATGCCTTGTGACTATGCAGTCTCTGAATAGGAGAAGCTACTCCAACAGGAGTTGCCATGCTTCTTGTGAATGCTATAGGCTGCATACTGTTGGTTATGTAGAATAGCTAACGGCTCACCCCTATAGGACCATAGCTAGCTAAATCCTACTGTTCTGCAGGGACGTGGTAGCCTGTGATGTAGGATGTCCACTATGGAACTACTTCCATTCTATATGGGAGACTGAGGTGGGTGGATCACTTGAGGCCAAGACTTTGAGACCAACCTGACCAACATGGTGAAACCCCATCTCTACTAAAAATACAAAAATTAGCCGGGCATGGTGGCACATGCCTGTAATCCCAGCTATTCAGGAGACTGAGGCAAGAGAATCCCTTGAACCTGGGGGGCAGAGGTTGCAGTGAGCCAAGATCGTGCCACTGGCTTCCAGCCTAGGTGACAGAGCAAGACTCCACCTCAAAAAAAAAAAAAAAAAAAAAAAAAAAAAAAAAAGCGAGTGGAATAGAATAGGAGACAAGTAGAGAGAATGTAATGGAATAGAATAGAAAGAATAGAATTGGATTAAACTGAATTGAACAGAATGGTGTGAAGTGGAATAGAACAGAGCTGAAGGAAATAGAATAGGAGTGGAGTGAAATGGAACAGAATGGAGTGGAATGGAATGGAGTAGGACAGGAGTGAAATAAAGCAGAATAGAGTTGACTAGACTGAAATATAATGGAATGGAGTAAGTGGAATGGGGTGAAGTGGAGTACAATAGAGTGGGAAGGAATGGAGTGCAATGAAGTCAAGGGAGTGGAGTGGAAATGAATGGAATGGAATACAGTGGAAAGAAATAGAATAGAATGAAGTGGAAATAGAATGGAGTGGAAATGAATGGAATGGAATACAGTGGAAAGAAATAGAATAGAATGAAGTGGAAATAGAATGGAGTGGAAATGAATGGAATGGAATGCAGTGGAAATAGAATAAAAGAATGAAGTGGAAATAGAATGGAGTGGAAATGAATGGAATGGAATACAGTGGAAAGAAATAGTATAGAACGAAGTGAAAATAGAATGGACTGGAAATGAATGGAATAGAATACAGTGGAAAGAAATAGAATAGAATGAAGTGGAAAGGAATATATTAGAATCAATTAAAGTGTAATGGAATACAGTAAGATAGAATGAAATAGAATTGAAGAGGATGGAATGGAGTGGAATGGAAAACAGAATGGAATGGAATGAAGGCAAGTGAAGTATAGTGAAAGACAACTGAATTGAACAGAATGGTGTTGAGTGGAGTGGAATACAATGGAGCGTAATGAAATAGAATGGAATGGAATAAGAATGAAGTGGAGTGGAGTGGAATATAAGAGTAGAATAGAATAGAATGGAATGGAGTAAAATGAAATAGACTAGACTAGAATAAATTGAAATAAAATGGAATGGAGTGGTATAAAACAGAATATAATTGAACATAATAAGCTAGAATACAAAGGAGTGGAGTAGAATACAGTGGAGTAGAATAGAGTGGAGTGGAATGGCATAGAATGTAACAGAATGCAGTGGAAGGGAATTGAAAAGAATGAAATCGGCCAGGTACAGTGGTTCACGCCTGTAATCCCAGCACTTTGGGAGGCCGAGGTGGGCAGAGCACGAGGTCAGGAGTTCGAGACCAGCCTGACCAACATGGTGAAACCCCGTCTCTACTAAAAATATAAAAATTAGCCAGGCGTGGTGGCAGGTGCCTGTAATCCCAGCAACTCGGGAGGCTGAGGCAGGAGAATCACTTGAACCCAGGAGGCAGAGGTTTCAGTGAGCCAAGATCGCACCACTGCACTCCAGCCTGGCGACAGAGTGAGACTCCATCTCAAAAACAACAACAACAACAACAACAAAAACCAAACAAACAAAAAGAATGAAATTGAATAAAATATAATAAATTGGAAAAAATGGCACGGAGTAGAGTGAAACAGAATATAATTGAATAGAATATAATAGAATGAAATGGAGTGGTGTGGAATAGAGTGGAGTAAAATGAAAAAGAATGGAAGAGAATAGAAAGAATAGAATAAAATGGGATGGAGTGAAATGAAGGGAGTGAAGTATAATGGAAGGGAGGGGATAATAGAATGGAGTGGAATAAAATGAAATAGTATAGAAGGAAATGGAATAGAATATGCAAAATGAAATAGAGTGGAGTAGAAAGGGGTAGCATAGGATAGAAAAAGATAAAATGAAGTGGAGTGGTGTGTAATGGAATAGAACAGACTAGAATAGAACAGAACGGAATGCAGTGGGATGGAAACAAATGGAGTAGAACGGAATAAGTGAAATGGAATGGAGAGGAGTTGAGTGAGCTGGAGTAGACTGAACTGAATGGAGTGGGGGGCTGCACCTTGTAAGGACCTTCTTTCTAGTGGAGACTGCAGAGTTACGAGGTGGGCAGGGCATCACAAAGCAAGAGGGCTGAGTGCGATAGCTCAGGTCTCTCTTCCTTTACTTATTAAGCTGCCAGCTCCATTCCTATGATAACCCATTAATCAGGTAATCCATGAATAAGTAATTCATTCACGAGAGCTGAGCCTTCATGGTACCATCACCTCCTAAAGGTCCGATTTCTCAACACTGCCACATTGGGAATTAGGTTTCAACATGAGTTTTTGTGGGTACAAGCCATATTCAAACCACAGCACTGGAAGAGTACATTCTCGCTTTAACATTGAAGGGATAAGCCGGGCGCGGTGGCTCAAGCCTGTCATCCCAGCACTATGGGAGGCCGAGACGGGCGGATCTCGAGGTCAGGAGATCGAGACCATCCTGGCTAACACGGTGAAACCCTGTCTCTACTAAAAAATACAAAAAACTAGCCGGGCGAGGTGGCGGGCGCCTGTAGTCCCAGCTACTCGGGAGGCTGAGGCAGGAGAATGGCGTGAACCCGGGAGGCGGAGCTTGCAGTGAGCTGAGATCCGGCCACTGCACTCCAGCCTGGGCCACAGAGCAAGACTCCGTCTCAAAAAAAAAACAAAACAAAAAAAACATTGAAGGGATAGATTGCCTAGGACAGTTTAAGTACATTTACCCTGTGAAGCTGAAGGGCTAGAGATTGCCTAGGACATACAACAGAGAAACCCACCAAGAAGAAAGTGGGTTTTTTTGTTTTGAAACAAGGTCTCGCTCTGTCACCCAGGCTGGAGATTAGTGGCACAATCTCAGCTCACAGCGGCCTCGGACTCCCAGACTCAAGAATCCTCCTTTGTCAGCCTGGGAGTCAGGCTGATTTCCATTCAGTCAGTAACTGGGATTACAGGTGCATGCCACCATGCCCGGCTAATTTTTGTATAAAAAAGGTTTTCATGCTAGGCATGGTGGCTCACGTCTGTAATCCCAGCAATCTGGGAGGCTGAGGTGGGTGGATCACTAGGTCAGGAGTTTGAGACCAGCCTGGCCAGCATGGTGAAACCCTGTCTCTACTAAAAATACAAAAATAAAAATAAAATAAAATAAAAAATAGCCAGGCATGGTGGCATGTGCCTGTAGTCCGAGCTACTCCAGAGGCTGAGGCAGGAGAATTTCTTGAACCCGGGAGGCGGAGGTTGCAGTGAGCTGAGATCACGCCACTGCACTCTGGCCTGGGCGACAGAGCAAGACTCCCTCTCAACAACAAAAAAGTTTTAAAATTTAATTCAGTGTTTAAAAATGTACTCAGGGGCCGGGCACTGTGGCTCATGCCTGTAATTCCAGCATTTTGGGAGGCCGAGACAGGTGGATTATCTGAGCTCAGGAGTTCAAGACCAGCCTGACAAACATAGTGAAACCCCATCTCTACTAAAAACACAAAAATTAGCCAGGTATGGTGGCATGTGCCTGTAATCCCAGCTACTCAGGAGGCTGAGGCAGGAGAATCGCTTGAACCCGGGAGGTCAAGGCTGCAGTGAGCTGAGATGGCGCCACTGCACTCCAACCTGGATGACAGAGTGAGACTCCACCTCCAAAAAAAAAAAAAAGAGTACTCAGGCTGGGCGCGGTGGCTCACGCTTGTAATTCCAATACTTTGGGAGGCCGAGGCAAGCAGATCACTTGAGATCAGGAGTTCAAGACTAGCCTGGTCAACATGGCAAAACCCCATCTTTACTAAAAATATAAAAATTAGCCAGACGTGATGTTGTGTGCCTGTAATACCAGCTACTAGGGAGGCTGAGGCAGGATAATTATTTGAACCCAGGAGGTGGAGGTTGCAGTGAGCCGAAATCACATCATTGCAACAGAGCAAGAGTCCGTCTCCAAAAAAAAAATTTAAAAAAAATTTTTAAAAACCTTCAAAATTCAAAAGGACAAACCAAAACATGAAAAATCTCCCTGTGACCTTTCATCACCTAGACCTTCAGTTCCATTTTCCAAAGGAAATGATGTTAACATTGCTATGTGAATCTCCCCAAAATATTTTATACATACAATAGCATGTATATATAGCATATATAACTATAGCTATGTGTTGTATTAATTTCCTATTGGTGCTATAAAAATTACCACAAATTTAATTGTTTAAAATAAAATATATTTAGGCTGGGCACGGTGGCCCATGCCTGTAATCCCAGCACTTTGGGAAGCCGAGGTGGGCATATCACCTGAGGTAGGGAGTTCGAGACCAGTCTGACCAACATGGAGAAACAACATCTCTACTAAAAATACAAAATTAGCCGGGCATGGTGGCACATGCCTCTAATCCCAGCTATTCGGGAGGCTGAAGCAGGAGAATCCCTTGAACCCGGGAGGTGGAGGTTGCAGTGAGCCGAGATCATGCCACTGCACTCCAGCCTGGGCAACAAGAATGAAACTCCGTCTCGGCCGGGCGCGGTGGCTCAAGCCTGTAATCCCAGCACTTTGGGAGGCCAAGACGGGTGGATCACGAGGTCAGGAGATCGAGACCATCCTGGCTAACACGGTGAAACCCCGTCTCTACTAAAAAATAGAAAAAACTAGCCGGGTGAGGTGGCGGGCGCCTGTAGTCCCAACTACTTGGGAGGCTGAGGCAGGAGAATGGCGTGAACCCAGGAGGCGGAGCTTGCAGTGAGCTGAGATCCAGCCACTGCACTCCAGCCTGGGCCACTGAGGGAGACTCTGTCTCAAAAAAAAAAAAAAAAGAAACTCCGTCTCAAAATAAATAAATAAATAAATAAATATAAATAAAATATATTTATTATCTTGCAATTCTGGAGTCAGACATCTCACATGGGCCACAGTGGGCTAAAAATTAAGATGTCTGCCAAGCCTGGTGGCTCATGCCTATAATCCCAGTGCTTTGAGAGGCCTAGGCAGGAGGATCACTTGAGCCCAGGAGTTCAAGGCCAGCCTGGGCAACATAGCGAGACCCTCATCTCTACAAAAAAAATTTTTTTAACTCGCCAGGTGTGGCGGCACACACCTGTAGTCCAGAGGCTGAGATGGGAGGACTGCTTGAGTCCAGGAGTTCAAGGTTGCAGTAAGCCATGAACATGCCGCTGCACTCCAGCCTGGGTGACAGAGGGAGAACTAGTATCAAAAAAAAAAAAAGAAAGAAAAGAAAAAGAAGACATAAAGAAAGAAAAGTACATGTGCAATATACGCAATGTTAGTTAAATAGATGAGTTGATTAGACACGTTTGTTTATTTATTCATTTTTGAGACGGAATCTCACTCTCACTGCCCAGGCTGGAATGCAGGGGCATGATCATGGCTCACTGCAGCCTCAACTCCCTGGGCTCAAGCGATCCTCCCACCTTAGCCTCCTGAGTAGCTGACTACAGTAGCTGACTACGTGGTGCTCACCACCACAGCCAGCTAATTTTTTAAATTTTTAGTAGAGACTGGGTTTCAACACATTATGCAGGTTGGTCTCGAACTCCTGGGCTCAAGTGATCTGCCCGCGTCCACCTCCAAAGTGCTGGGATTACAGGTATTTGCCACGGCACCTGGCCTGTTTTTTTTTTTTTGAGACGGAGTCTCGCTCTGTCGCCCAGGCTGGAGTGCAGTGGCTGGATCTCGGCTCACTGCAAGCTCCACCTCCCGGGTTCACGCCATTCTCCTGCCTCAGCCTCCCGAGTAGCTGGGACTACAGGCGCCGCCACCACGCCCGGCTAGTTTTTTGTATTTTTTAGTAGAGATGGGGTTTCACCGTGTTAGCCAGGATGGTCTCGATCTCCTGACCTCGTGATCCACCCGTCTCGGCCTCCCAAAGAGCTGGGATTACAGGCTTGAGCCACCACGCCCGGCCTGGCCTGTTTATTTACTTTTGAGATGAGGTCTGGCAATGTGACCCAGGCTGGACTTGAACTCTGGGCTTAAACTATCCTTCCACTTCAGCCTCCTGAGTAGTTGGGACTACAGGCTTGCACCACCACACCCAGAATATTATTAAACACCTCCCAGATCCAGGTGCTTTTTTGAGCCTGTGTGACGAAGACATGAGCTCACGATTATTACAGCATCCAGCCGAATAGCAAGGATTCAAAATGAACATGGGAAGATATCTCCCCAAACCACTGTCTTGTTTTGTCTTACGACTACAGCATTTCTGATTCTTAATTTATTCACAGACCACTTTCATCATATCGCCACTGCGAATGCCACCTGTACTGTGTCAAGTACAAAAAAACCTCCAGACTTGGTAAGAGTCACTTTTTAGAAAAGGATTATTGCAAGAGGAAGGGGAAGGGGCTGTTGTAATAGGAAGAGGGGGACTATTTCAATAAGGAGAACACTCCCACCGTGAAATCTGCCAGCATCTCAAAGGTTGCGTAGAAAGGGGTTTTTCTTCTAGAGGGAAGAGTGACTAAAGCTAGGAAGAAAGAAGTGTGGGGAAATGGGAGGAGCCTAATGAAGGGAGGGATGGGAGGTGGGGTGAATGGAGAGTAGATAGAGAATGTTTTACCAGGCTTCCAGCCTGTTCTTGGGAGGGGCTGTCTGCTGCCCCAGGCTGAGGGTAGGTCCAGGATCAGGGGCCTGGGAGGAGAATTTGGCTAACGAATACTCTATTCTGATGGATCAGTGAGTACAGGCAGTCAGTCTAATCATTTGTGGGACAATGAGCGAGAATTTGGAAGGTCTGTGTGTGGTCTTATGCCAGGTCAACAAGGGTGCATCTTCAAGCCCTCTCTAAGTCATGTGAGGAAGGGAAGTTCTTTGCTGTGTCAACTGAAATTAAGGCCGTGGAGGCAGACATAATTTTGATAAATGTTTTGTAAATCAAAGAGTATCTGAGTCTCAGTCAATTAGGAAGTTTATTTTGCCAAGGTTGAGGACACACCCATGACACAGCCTCAGGAGGTCCTGATGACATGTGCCAAGGTGATCGGGCACAGCTCAGTTTTATACATTTTAGGGAGGCATAGGACATCAATCAGCACATGTAAAATGTTCATTGGTTCCGCCTGGAAAGGCAGGACAACTTGAAGCGAGGAGAGGGCTTCCAGGTAATAGGTAGGTAAGAGACAAGGGTTGCATTCTTTTGAGTTTCTGATTAGCCTTTCCAAAGGAAGTCATCAGATACGCATCTATCTCAGTGAGCAGAGGGATGACTGAGTTCTGTCTGTCCTCTGTCCACAAATTGTGAGAAAGGTATGTCATTTTTTACTTATTTATTTTTTAAATCTTAGTAGCTATTTTTTTTTTTTTGGAATGGAATGGGAGGCATGATGAGATTTGAGGAACTCAACGCAAAGATTTTTAACTCAGGGACAGGATGTAAGCCACGAATCATAAAACCTTCTCCAGGTAGTTAATTTGGACCTGTAAGTTATCAGCTGGAAGCCATTTCCAGGACGCAAAGGGTAGGAGGATTGTTTTAATTCACACTCACAGGGCTCAGGTAAAAGTAACCATTGTCAGCCAGTATACTTGATGTTCTTCCTTTTAATAACTGTAATCAAGTTCCTCAAAGAAAGCTTCAGATTGCTCATACAAAAGGACAACCGGTAGCATTTGCCATAAAGAAAGGGTGTCTAAGGGCCAGGAGTGGTGGCTCACACCTGTAATCTCAGCACTTTGGGAGGCTGAGGCGGGCGGGTCACAAGGTCAGGAGATTGAGACCATCCTGGTTAACACAGTGAAACCCCATCTCTACTAAAAATACAAAAAAAAAAAAAAAAAAAAAATTAGCAGGGCATGGTGGCAGGTGCCTGTAGTCCCAGCTACTCAGGAGGCTGAGGCAGGAGAATGGCATGAACCCAGGAGGCAGAGCTTGCAGTGAGCCGAGATCAAGCCACTGCACTCCAGCCTGGGAGACAGTGAGACTCCATCTAAAAAAAAAAAAAAGGTGCCTGAAGATGAACTCAAAACAAAGCAATGCTATTGAACTGTAGACACTGGAGTCCAGCCGGGTCTGTGAGTTTGTCTTCATTGAATAATGGAGGTTAGTCAGTGTCAAAGCAGCCGGGTCTGTGAGTTTGTCTTCATTGAATAATGGAGGTTAGTCAGTGTCAAAGCAGCCGGGTCTGTGAGTTTGTCTTCATTGAATAATGGAGGTTAGTCAGTGTCAAAGCAGCCACGAAGACATCCCAGCACTGAAGAAGGCTCACTGTGTGATCTCACCAGAAGAGTGGAAGAAAAGAATAACTTTTCATATATAACTTAGTGTTTTTAACGCTGCATCCATTCGCCAAACTAAAATTATCTCATTAATTCCCCACTTTGGGAATCCCAAACGATACGCTAGGATGCCATAGAAAAATTTCACATCAGTTTTTTAAAAAGTAAACTTTAGTTTTTAGAAGAGAGCTTTAGACATTCAGAAAAATTGGTAAGATAATGCGGAGAGTTCCCATAAACTCTACACTCAGTTTCTTCTATTATTAGTATTTTATTAATGTATTTGTTGGGTACATGTTATAATTAATAAATCAATATAGATACGTTATTAACTAAAGGCCATGCTTTGTTCGGATTTCCTCAGTTTTCATGTCATGTCTCTTTACTGTTCTGGGACATCGATCTAGGATGCCTCCTTGCACCCAGCTGTCCTGCCTCCTTAGTCTCTCCTTGACTGACAGTTTCTCACACTTTCTTGTTTTTGATGACCTTGATCGTTTTGAGGTATCGTGACATTTTGTAAAATATCCCTCAATCAAGGTTTGTCTGATGATTTTCTTTTTTTCTTTTTTTTAAATAGAGACGAGATCTCACTATGTTGCCCAGGCTGTTCTGGAACTCGTGGGCTCAAGTGATCCTCCTGCCTCAGCCTCCCAAAGTGCTGGGATTACCGGCATAAGCCACTTTGCCCAGTCTGTCTGATGATTTTCTCATGGTTAGATGAGAGTTTTGAGGGAGGAAGGTTTGGGGTTGGAAGACCACGGAGGTAAAGTGCCCTTCTCAGCACTTCATTCTCAAGGGTTCAAACTGTCAACTTGACTTATCATTGTTGATGTTGGCCTTGGTCACCTGCCTCAGGTAATGGTTGTCAGATTTGTCCATCATACAGTGACTCTTTCCTCCTTTCCACACTGTATAGATGGAGAGGCAGTCACTATAAACAATCCATACCCAAGGGCTGAAGTGTTATGCTCCCACTCCTCAAGGACAGATCATCTATGTAAATCATTTGGAGCTCTGCACAGGTGATATCTACTCCCCATTTATTTCTCCAACCCTTTGTTTATCATGGGGACACCCCCACGATCCAATCACCTGCCCCCTTCGACCCATGGGGATTACAGGTTCCTCCCTCAACACACGAGGATTACAAATTGAGATGAGATTTGGGTGGGCACACAGAGCCAAACCATCTCAATACAGGTTTTTGCTCTGTCACCCCAAGCTGGAGTACAGTGGCATGATCAAGGGTTCGGTGCATCCTCCGCCTCCTGGGCTCAAACAATCCTTCCACCTCACCCTCCAGAGTAGCTGGGACTACAGGCACATGCCACCATACCCAGCTAATTTTTGTACTTTTTATACAGATGAGGTTTTGCCACGTTGCCCAGGCTGGTCTCGAACTCCAGGGCTCAAGTGATCCACCGCCTTGGCCTCCCAAAGTGCTGGGATTACAGGCGTGAGCCACTGTGCCCAGCCACTTGTCTGTGAGTGCTTTCTTCCCTGACCACCTCATGTACTCTGACAACTTCAATTACAGCAACAGGGCAAGACCCCCAACATTTTCCCAGCAGCTTAAAGCTCTCTGTTCTTTGGATTTGCATGTTCAGCTGTGTCCCGCCACGGCTACCCTTTCGCTCTGCATGTTCCACACTGAACTCCTGCTACAATATTCCTTCCTCCCCAAGACATCGCCCCTGTGTTCACGTAGAAACCTGGAAGTTTGCCTCCCAGCTTGCCACCCAAATACTTCTCAAATCTCTGTACTTTTCTTCACCCATATGGTTGCCTCCAAACTGCTCTGTGCTGGAATTTCACCTGTCCTAGCTCAGTGGCCTTGACACTCACCTGAAATCCCCCAGCACTGCCCTCTCCCCAGCATCCCACCATCTTCTCCCTTGTTCCCCACTGTCCCCTCCCCCTGTACCCCATTATCCTTCTGTACCCCATTTTTCTCTCCTCTGCACCCCACTGCAGCAGAGCCACCTTTAAAAATACAAACTTCAGCCAGCAAGGTGGCTCACACTTGTAATCTCAGCACTTCGGGAGACTGAGGCCAGGAGTTCAAGACCAGCTTGGGCAACATGGTGAAACCTTGTCTCTACAAAAAATAAATTAAAAAATTAGCCAGGCATGGTGGAGCATGCCTGTAGTCCCGGCTACTTGGGAGGGTGAGGTAGAAGCATAGCTTGAGTCCAGGAGTTCAAGGCTGCAATGAGCTATGATGGTGCCACTGCACTCCAGCCTGGATGAGAGAGTGAGACCCTGTCTCAAAAAATAAATAAAGTAAAAATGTAAACCTGGTTATGCTACCTCCCTGCTGTGATAGGGTCTCAAGGTACATTCCAACAAGATCTGTTGCCACTCTGTCCCTTGTTCCCAAAGCTACATGGGTCTTCCTGAAGTCCGTCCAGCCATGGACAGCCCTGCCTCATCCCATTCCTGTGCTGCCTTTTCTTCATCTTCCACATCTGCCTTTCAAAGTTACTTCTCCTGGAAGGCTTCTGTGCCCTACAAACTAAGAGAAAATTCCCTGATACATTCTCTATGTATTCCTAATCTGTAGCCCTTATCACAGTGGTAATTTAAAAATCATTTATTAGTATTCGTTACTTTATGCCTGAAAGATTCTCCCCCGGGGCCTGAAAGCTTAAGCAGATGAATAACTCCTCCCTCCTCAGGCCCAGTCCCAAGGTACAAGGCCGCTTGCGCCAGCAGCGTGCGTCAGCAAGATAGCAGAAGCTGGAAGAGGACCCGCCGGAAGACACGTACCCGGGCCGGGAGACACCTACCCTGGCGGGGAGACACCTACCCCGAAGGATGGAGAGAGGGATTCAGGTACTACATAGCAGTCCGGTCAGAATGGGACACTTCCTGTTTACAGGACACTATAAAACCCCTGCCCCATCCTCATTTGGTGCTGACGCCATTTTAGGCCTCAGCCCGTCTGCACCCAGGTGCCCAATAAAACAGCGTGTTGCTCCACACCACCTCGTGTTGTTTGTTGGCGCGCTCCGGGGGTTCAAATGATACTTTAATCTGGTGCTGAAACCCTGGAGGGGCTCAGGTCTGCCTCCCCCGTGGACCTACCCCTGCACCCCGGAGAACCGGCCACAGCAGTGGGACAAAGGAAGCTCCTCAGCCTCCAGTCGCCTCTCTGTGCACGCATCTCACCTACCTGTAAGTTTCCCGGAGCCCGGTTAACAGGGAAAAATCCTCAGGGCCTCTCTTGGTTTCTCCGTTGGAAAATCCAAGCTTGGTCCGAAGGCTCGGGCATGTGCCAGGCACTCGCTGATCATCTGGTCTTAGGGGGTCGCCTCTAAACCATTTGATCCCGTTCCCGGACGAAAAAGGCAGGGGTGATAATCGCTCCTTTTATATTCTCCCTCCGGCTGTCCAGGATGGTCTCCTTTTCATTGTTCTCCAGAGCCTACCCTCTGTTATGGGAAATTCTCAGTCTTCCATTCCAAAGGACAGCCCGCTAGGCTGCCTCATAAAAACCTGCAAACCTTAGGCCTCAGGCAAGATGTCTGCCCTAAGCGCCTTGTCTTTTTTTCAATTCAGTCTGGCCGCAGTACAAATTAGATAACGGGCCTGCAAATGGAACATTCAACTTTGCAATTTTAACTGACTTAAGCAACTATTGCTGATGACTGGAGAAATGGGGAGAAATTCCTTATGTCCTTATGTCCAGGCCTTTTTGCACTCAGATCACAACCCGACCTCTGCAGTTCTTGCTCACCTGTTTCTTCTCCTCCATTCTCGCCGCCTTGATCGCATTTCTCCTCCCAACCCTACCTCTTTTTCCACGTGTGATCCAGCAGACTGCTGCCCACCCCTCCCAGCTCCTTCCTCTCCCTCTCAACCTTTTCTTTAACCCCCCCCAGGCTCCTCTGTATCTTCGCAGCTGCCATCTTCCCAGTCAGCAGTATCCACTCCTTTTCCCACACCATCCGGTCCTCAGGACAATTTAGTATCGCCTGTAGCCATTCTCCTCCCCCATCGCCCTCACCTGAGGCTTGTAAACCCTTCTTGCCACCTTACACCCCTATGTAGCCTCTACAGCCTGTTAACTCAACCCGGCTTCCCCCTTCAAACCCTCAGCAGGAACCACTTCCAGGTCCTTCCTTCTCTCCAGCCCCTACTCCCTCAGGCGCCATCTTTGGCCCATGCCCCACCCTTACTTCAGTGCCTGTGCTAGAGTGCCCCCTTCAGGAAGTAGCAGGAACTGAAGGTATTGTTAGAGTTCATGTTCCCTTCTCCCTCGCTGATCGCTCTCAAATTAACAAAAGACTCGGTTCATTTCCAGAAGACCCTACCTCTTATATTAGAGAATTCCATACCTCACCCAGTCTTATGAACTAACCTTGCATGACCTCTACTTTATCCTCTCTTCCACCATCACCCCAGAAGACTGAGACCATATCTGGACCCTAACTCAGGCACCTGCAGATACAATTCATCACCAGGCTCCTGCCCAGCCTCCTGGCACAGAGGCAGTCCCCAACCAGGACCCCCTCTAGAATTATCAAGACGGGGCTTCTGGACGCCGCCATCGAGACCACATGATTGTGTGTCTCCTGCAGGACTCAAAAATGGGGCCCATAAAGCAGTCAACTATGAAAAACTTTCAGGAATCACCCAAGGTCCCGACGAAAACCCAGCCCTTTTTCTCTCTCGTTTAACTGAAGCCATGAGAAAGTATACCAACCTAGACCCAGCCAGCCCAGAAGGAACTACTATTTTTAACCTTCGGTTCATCTCCCAATCCACCCCTGATATCTGGCACAAGCTTCAGAAGGTTCACGACGGCCCTCAAACTCCACAACTAGCCTTCTTAATTTAGCTTTCAGAGTCTTTAACAATCATGATAAGGAAAATAAAAGGCAAAAACAGGCAGTTCCAAATGCTTGCCTCTGCCATCAGGGGCCCTGCAGGCCCACGGGGCTGTGGGTCCACACGGAAGCCTCCTGGTAATCCACCTCCACCTGGCGCCTGTTTCAAGTGCGGCAATGTAGGCCACTGGTCCAGACAATGCCCAAACCCGGGTAAGCCCACCAGGCCATGCCCCCTCTGCAGAAAACCCCACTGGAAGTTGGACTGTGAGCGGCCCCTGTAAGGACCACCCCCATCCCTTCCTGAGCCAGCCAAAACCTCCTACTCAGATCTCATCGGCCTTGCTGCTGAAGACTGATGGTGCCCTGGAATGGACGCCCCGGCAACTACCATCACTTCATCTGAGCCAAGGGTAACCCTGATGGTGGCAGGTAGGCCAGTATGTTTTTTAGATTAATACCAGGGCAACATACTCTGCTTTACCTGACTTTTCAGGACCCACCCAGTCCTCCCAAGTCTCTGTTGTAGGAATTGATGGACAAGTCTCCAAACCCTGAACCACCGCTCCACTCTTCTGCTCCCTTCATGCCTTTTCCTTCACTCACTCTTAGTCCTGCCCTCATGCCCAACTCCACTTCTAGGCAGAGACATCCTTTCAACACTCTACACTACTCTCCACTTCCACATTCTCCATGGTACCCAACGCATCCACCCAGACCCCTCCCGTACTTCTAGCTTTCTTCTACTCCTCCAACCTCCCACCCTAAAACATGCAACCTTTCCTTATTCCCCATCCATAGTTACCCCATAGTTTGGGATAATTCCACACCCTCAGTCGCAAAACACCACACCCTCATCTGCATTACCCTTAAAGAGCCCCCCAGTTCCTCTCACAGAAGCAGTATCCCACCCCCAACCAGCTCTCATAGGCCTAAAGCCCTATCGTTTCTCGCCTCCTCACCAGTCACCTACTCCACCCAACAGACTCCCCTTTTAACACATCAATTCTACCTGTTAAAAAACCAGATAGAACTTACCGCTTAGTCCAGGACCTCAGATTCATTAGCCAAGCTGTACTCCCAGTACATCCAGTAGTTCCTAACCCATATACTTTACTTGCCACAATTCCCTCCAATACCACCCATTTTTCTGTTCTAAACCTAAACGATGCTTTTTTCACAATTCCTTTACACTCTGATTCCCAAAACCTCTTTGCCTTTATGTCGGAAAACCCCGACACCCTCGGAGTCCCTGTATATAACTTAAACAGAGGAAAATGGGTTGTAAAGGTAAGAGGATGCCGAAGACGGCAAGAGGACGAGTGGCCTCCGCCAGGGATCATCAAATATTATGGTCCTGCCAGCCAGGCGGAGGATGGTTCACAGGGTCATCCCATATACATGCTAAATAGAATAATCAGACCACAGGCTGCTCTAGAGACCATCACCAACCAAACCGCCTCAGCCCTGGAAATGCTCGCGCAACAACAAAACCAAATGCACACGGCAATTTATCAACACAGGCTGGCACTAGACACTTACTAGCAGAAGAGGGTGGGGTCTGTGGTGAGTTTAGTATCTCCAATTGCTGTCTTAACATAGACGATAACGGAAAAGCGGTTCTAGAAATCACCTCAAACATCAGAAAAGTAGCCCATGGACCAGTCCAAACCTGGAAGGGATGGGACCCAGAAAACCTTCTAGGGGGTGGTTCTCTAATTTAGGAGGATGTAAAATGCTGGCAGGGACGGACATCTTCACCACTGGGGTCCTCCTGTTTCTCCCCTGTGTTATCCCACTGATAATGAAAGCCATTAAAAACTCTTGTTGAGGGGCCGGGCGCGGTGGCTCAAGCCTGTAATCCCAGCACTTTGGGAGGCCGAAACGGGTGGATCACGAGGTCAGGAGATTGAGACCATCCTGGCTAACACGGTGAAACCCCGTCTCTACTAAAAAATACAAAAACTAGGGGAGGGGAGCTGTAGCCAGATGGAGGGAAGAAGGAGGGAGAGGAGTGAGCTGAGATGACCACTGCACCCACCGGCCACAGAAAATCTAAAAAAAAAAAAAAAAAAAAAAAAAAAAAAAAAAAAAAAAAAAGATGCCCTGCTACAACGGCAGGTGAGCCCCGTCTCAGATCCCATGCGGGGTGGTGCTCAGCTGTAACCAGCATGGAGGCTGAGACGGGAAGAGGTCAGGGAGGCCACCTCCGAACCCGCATAAAAATACAAAAACTAGCTGGGCGAGGTGAGGGGTGCCTGTAGTCCCAGCTACTCGGGAGGCTGAAGCAGGAGAATGGCATAAACCCGGGAGGTGGAGCTTGCAGGGAGCTGAGATCCGGCCACTGCACTCCAGCCTGGGCGACAGAGCGAGACTCCGTCTCAAAAAAAAAAAAAAAAAAAAAAAATCCCCAAAACTAAGTTTTCTCTTTTGTTTCCGAGGTGCCCACGCCACCCGCTATGTCACACCTGAAGTAGTTATTGAGAAAGTTGTCCCTCTTCCCTCTTCTATAGAAGACAGACAGGAATGAAAGATTCTTCCTGGGGCCTGAAAGCATGGGGGGATGAGTAACTCCTCCCTTCTCAGGCCCAGTCCCAAGGCGCAAGGCCACTTCCGCCAGCAGCGTGTGACAGTGAGACAGCGGAAGCAGGAAGAGGGCTGGCCGGAAGACACCTACCCCTGAGGATGGAGAGAGAGAGAGGCCATCCAGGTACCACGTAGCAGTCATGTCAGACTGGGACCCTTCCTGTTTGCAGAGGACTATAAAACCGCTGCCCTGTCCTCATTTGGTGCTGACACCATTTTAGGCCTCAGCCTGCCGGCACCCAGGTGCTCATTAAAACAGCACGTTGCTCCACACCACCTCGTGTTGTTTGTTGGCACGTTCTTGGGGTTCGAACCAATACAAGAACCTTTCAATGCCTTTCATTACTCTGTTAGCATATAGCAGCTCCACGCGCTATGAAATGCCCAAACTCTGGACAGGCTGCCTGAATTGAAATCTTGGGTCTGCTGCGTGTCCCTCAGCAACTTCTTCTATCACTGTATGGCCCATCTGTAAAATGGGCATGATGATTGTGCCTCCTTTGCAGGGTGATCATGAAGATTCAGTGAGCCGCTATGTGCCAAGCTCTTCCAAGAGGGCCTGGCGT